AATTTTTTTCTACCACCTTTCTTTTCCCTAAAATATAAGGAAAATATCAGACATCTGGTGATTCTACCTGTACAATATCCAGTATGCATCTCTACCCGATGAGGACTTTGTTCTTATCATGCTTACCACCCCCTCTCCTTTTTTCTCTTGATGCCAGTTTGTGGAGAGATTGGATGATTCCCCGGTGCAGTGTTCAGTGGGAGCTTTTTCCCTAGTTGCCTGCTCCTGGTGCCATTTAACTTGCTCCTCCATCTCCGGTATTTCCTACAAACTGTTAGATTTAGGGGCAAAAATGCTTCACCATCGGAGCAGTGCCCTTCCTTCCGTGACACACCACGAGGCATGTGATGTTTAATTGTCCCACCTTTGAACTGCTGCGGTTGACAGCAGGCTCAGGGCAGGAGGAGCCGTTTAACCCCATCGTTATACATTTCTCCATCAGTTTTTCATGGTTTTAGGGTGAAACTGTTGAGGCACGGTGACTCACACCTGTAATCCCAGCACTTTGGGAGGCTGAGGTGGATCACCTGAGGTCAGGAGTTCGAGACCAGCCTGGCCAACATGGTGGAACCCCATCTCTATTAAAAATACAAAAAAAAATAGCTGGATGTGGTGGCACATGCCTGTAATCCCAGCTACTCGGGAGGCTGAGGCAGGAGAATTGATTGACTCCGGAAGGCAGAGGTTGCAGTGAGCCGAGATTGCGCCATTGCACTCCAGCCTGGGCCACAAGAGCGAAACTCCATCTCAAAAAAGATAAACTGCTTAATGGTTTTAGTATCCACTGATGATCACTGCCTTACTTCATTATTTCATCAGGGGTTGCAAAATGGTGATTTTTCTAATTTGCCATTCCTTCCTTAATTATCTGAAATGCTATATGAAACATTTCAACTTTCTGGTTATTCTGAATTGCAGTTTGTACGGGAAAGGCAGCATAAATGCTCTATTCTCTGCATTTTCAGAATGACAAGTTGAGCCCCTGAGACCTCCAAGGGCAACTCAAAACCGTGGGTTTTTCTGTACGTGGTGAGTTTCAGGCCATGGTAGTCACTGTTCACATTGTTCAGAAGGTCCTGTGCCGGGCCGCAGAGCCCTTCACACTGTCCTGGGCCCTGCGGGTGGAACACCAGTTCTCTTCAAAAGCGTCTTTGTTTTCTGGGTGACAGAAGTACCAGACCTGGGTTCTCATCCACCTCTCCAGAGAGCTTTGTTTCCTTTTAGCAGGAAATGGCATTTAAAGACCATAATCTGGAGGCCGGGCGCAGTGGCTCACACCTGTAATCCCAGCACTTTGGGAGGCCGATGAAGGAGGATCACTTGAGCCCAGGAGTTTCCGACCAGACTGGGCAACATGGTGAGATCCCATCTCCACACACACCCAAAAATGCAAAAATTAGCTGGATATGGTGGCGTGTACCTGTAGTCCTAGCTACTCCGGTACCTGAGGCAGAGGGATTATTTGAGTCCAAAGGGTCAAGGCTTTCAGTGAGCCAAGACCAAGCCACTGTACTTCAGCGTGGGCAACAGAGCGAAACCCTGTCTCCAAAACAAACACCTATAATATCAATTCTGGTAATTCTTTTCACTGTGTGGTTATATGATCTACTTGTTACACAGTAAGGTTTACCTCCATTTGTTTTCCATTTTTGAGATTGACCTTTTCCTTTTTAATTTGTTTTCTAATATAATTTTTAACTTGATTTTGCTTTATTCTCCCATTATTTCTTTTTGAATGAATACATATGTGAAGAAACACACACACACGTTCGTCTTTCCCTACTCTTACATAAAAGATAGCAAACAACAATTCTGCACCCTTTCTCCTTGAATATATTCCAGCCAGTATGTCACAGTAATATATGAAGTTGTTTTTATTGCTGTGTATCACTGTTTTAGACGTGCCACAGTTTATTCAACCAGTCCTGTATAAGTTGACATTTGGGTTGTGTTGGATGTCTTGCTGTTACAATTAATGCTGCCATCAATGACCTTGTGTGTATTTCATATTTCTGACAGTTTCATTTTGGGATAGGTTTCCTCAAAACAGGATGGCTCATGCCTGCTAGATGTTGCCAAATCTCCCTCTATGGTGGCTATGCCATGCGTATGCCACTAACTGCGTGTGAGCAACCACCCTTTCATGGCCTCACTGCAGTCAGACTTGTGGATTTCTGCCCATCTGATAGCCAGAAGCAGAGTTCAGTTTGCTGGATTTGTTTTGTTTTCATCTTTAAGTGTCATTGCATTTTCCTTTCCCCCTGCCCCGCCCCCACCCTGAGATGGAGTCTCGCTCTGTCCCCCAGGCTGGAGTGCAGTGGCACGATCTCAGCTCACTGCAACCTCCACCTCCTGGGCTCAAACAATTCTCCTGCCTCAGCCTCCCGAGTACCTGGGACTATAGGCATGTGCCACTATGCCCAGCTAACTTTTGTATTTTTAGTAGAGACAGGATTTCACCATGTTGGCCAGGCTAGTCTCAAACTCCTGACCTCAAGCAGTCGGCCTGCCTTAAGTTTTTTTTTTTTTGTTTATTAGTTCCTTCTAAGTGCTGGGATTACAGGCGTAAGCCACTGGGCCCAGCCGGAATTCATGTACTTTTATGTCCTATTTCTATTAATATTTCTTCTTGGAACCAAAAGTTTAACTTTTTCTGTCTGATATTTTTTTTTGGTTTCCTTCCTTTGACCCTGTTTTCTAGCATGTTTCTTTGTTCTTATGTTCTTTCTTTTCTTTTTTTGAGACAGAGTCCCTCTCTTGCCCAGGCTGGAGTGCAGTGGCACGAGCTCAGCTCAGTGCAGCCTTGACCTCCTGGGCTGAAGCAGTTCTTCCACCTCAGCCTCCCACAGAGCCGGGACTACAGGCATGCACCACCACGCCCAGGTACTTTCTGTAGAGACGAGGTCTTGCTGTTGCCCAGTCTGGTCGTGAACTCCTGGGGCTGATCTTCCTCCCTTGGCCTTCCAAAGTGCTGGGACTACAGGTATGAGTCACCACACTCAGCCTGTGTTCCTTCTTTTCCTTCCTGCACACTCTTTATTTCTGAAATGATTTTTTCCCCTAACATGATGCTCTGAAGTGTCAGCGGGACATGTCCTCTCTGCGCAGCCCCTTCGCAGGCGAGAGATTTGTATCCGCAGGCTCCAGCTCCTTGACCCTGACGTTCTTGCCAAATGCCGTGTCCCTTTCTCTCCAGCAGTTGTTTCTCTTGCTGTTGTCTTTAGTGGCCCCTCTGTCCTTCTGGAAAGGAGTTTTTGTGGGGAGTTTCTGGGGTCCTCAAGGGCTTAAGCCACTGCAGCCCTGCTCCACCACCTCCCCTGGGGGTCCTCCGATCTTCCCACTGAGAACCTCCCTCCTAGGGACACGTGGGGCTGTAGCTAGTGGGAGTACACTTAGAGTCGAGTTGGTGGTGAGACCTCATTTCCTCAATTTGCATTGATGATGTTGGCTGAAGGGTTTCTCCTTTGCTATCCTACAGGCTCTATCTGTTTCTAGGAGGGATTTTGTGCAGATTACAACTCTATGCTACCATAATGATTTTGCCTGTGATGACTTGACTGCGATGGGTCTGCCCAGCTCCAGGCAGCCTGCGCCATGACTCAGCCGATGCCAGAGACTTGTCCATAGTCAAGACACAGGCCAGAAAGGACCACTGGACATATCTCTGAAAACAAAGTCCTAAAGCTAAAGATGGTAACCTTATTCTTGTCCTAGTTTCTTAAGCCCTTAGCTTACCTAACTTTTTCTTAATGTCTGTCATCATAAGAAGTAAATAGCACAGTTGAGAGAGAAGTGGACCTCTTTGGTTACAGAAACAGGCCACAGGTATTCTTAATCACTTAAAAAAATGAATAATAAGGTAGCTAATTGGATCATAAACTATGCTATGAAGAGTAAACTCCATTCTAAAATATTTTAAAAGAATCAAGTCAGATTGGAACTAGAAGGCATGCCCCTAGCATTTGAAAGAGTTACCTCTATCTCATTCATTACAAAAAACCCAAAGCCACTTGTGACTTCTGGGAATCCAAGCTTACCTTGATAGGCCTTTCCAGGTCCTTCTTTGTAAATCTCATCACAATGAGTCCCAGAAACGTCAAGCCATAAAAGAGCCACGAAGCAAAGCTGAAATAATTGACTAACGAGTTTATGTCACCAGGGATGATATAAATAGTTGCTATGACACCCTGATAGAAGAACGAAATCGTTGGTCATTAGTACACAAAACACTGTTCTCATGTCACAGAAGACCGAAGCAGCAGTTTTTCTTGTGATTTTAGCATGAGAGGAACTTCCTAGGCATCCCTTGACAGTTGGGGTCAAACTGACTTTGGCTATGATAGCTCTTTTCTATGAAGCCTGCAGAAAATACCCGCCATCATGCCCGGCTAATTTTCGTATTTTTAGTAGAGATGGGGTTTCGCCATGTTGACCAGGCTGGTCTCGAACTCCAGACCTCAGGTGATCCACCTGCCTTGGCCTCCCAAAGTGCTGGGGTTACAGGCGTGAGACACCATGCCCGGCCAGTAATTGCGGTTTTTTT